TGGGGGGAGGGGGAGCCGCTCGCCGCGAGCGGGTGAGTAGGGCCGCGGTGCGCGTGCGCGGAGACGGGGGGTGCAGAACGCGCCGGGGCGGGAGAGGGTAGCGGCGCGCGTTCCCTCCACCCCCCCCGCCCGAATCCGGGGCTGAAGCCGGGTCTCGGGCTCGGTCTCGCGGTGTTTCCAACGCCCCGAAGAGGTGCCACCTCTCGGCCGGAGGATCGGGGCGCGGGGACGGGAGCGGCGGTGTGGGAGCGGGAGCCGGGCTTGGCCCGGGCCGCTGGCCGGTGAGGAGGCGGGAGGGGGCGGGGCCTGCCAGGGGGCGGGGGAGGGGTCTTGCGTGGAGGCCAAGTGGGGCGCGCGCTGGGAGAACGGGAAGGGAAGCGGGCGCGAGATGGGCCTGGGAGCCGGAGGGGAGAGTTGGGAAGTCGGGAGAGAATGGGCTGTTGTGTTGAAATAGGGTACCTGGGGCAGAACCTGAGGGAGCCCCGGGTCGTGGTGAGGTGGGGAACCTGGAGTGATGGGAGAGCCTGGAATCTGGGCTAGCCAATGAGGGGACAGCAAGGGAGTCAGGCCTAAGTGCTGGACCCCTCTGCGTATCCCTCTGTTCCTGACAGTGTAAATGAGCAGAGATGGATCAAGAAGGTGGGGGAGATGGGCAGAAAGCCCCAAGCTTCCAGTGGCGGAACTACAAGCTCATCGTGGACCCTGCCTTGGACCCTGCCTTGCGCAGGCCTTCTCAGAAGGTGTACCGTTATGACGGAGTCCACTTCAGTGTCAACGTGAGTGCGTCCTGGCTTTGCTGCCTTCTAGGGAATGCCAGGCCCTCCTGTCCTCTGTTACTCTGTTCAGCACCCAGAACTGCCATACCCATAGCTGTCCTTACCAGAAATGAGTGCACCCAGCCCTTCTGCATGCATATATCCAAATGGGCTTCTTAGAGCGTAGTAACCTGGTTCTGTCCTAAGCAATCTTTCTGTTCCTGCTTTCCTCACTAGGACTCAAAGTACATACCAGTGGAAGACCTCCAAGACCCCCGTTGCCATGTCAGGTCCAAAAACAGAGACTTTTCCCTTCCAGTCCCTAAGTTTAAGGTAGGTATCTGTTGCTTCCCTGGTGTAACGGCCCTTAAGGAGTGTGGAGGGTACTGTCACTCTGCTCCTCAGGTAGCCCAATAAAAGGGGTAGTCCACTGAAAGATCTAACAACCTCTGAGTCTGGGAGACAGAAGTGTTCTGGTTGGAAGGTGCCCTTGTATAGCAAAGGTGTCCCAAGTATATCTCTGGTGGTGAGGGTGTTAATTCTAGCTGCTGGATTTCTCACTGTGTGTTCCTAGATAGTATACAGCCCAACAGTAGGACAGTTTAGTTTCTTAATAAATAGAGCAACAATGCCATTGCTTCCCTGGAATCTTTCCTTACCTCTCATTTGGCCATGTGACCCTCCATCTTGGTTCCTAAGAGCATTCCCATTTCCCCATCTAAGTGGGATAGTCGTTAGGCCTTGGACTAAACTTGAAAAAGTAGTGGTTCTTCGTTTTCTTCACTCATTCTTTGTTCTTTCCCCATTAATTCTTCCTGTTTAAATAGTTTTTGGGGTTCTTTCATCCTGGTTTTTTTTTTTTTTTTTTTTTTGTACATTTCCCATGCACAGTCTCTTTCATATATGTGGTTTTTTTGTTTGTTTGTTTGTTTTTTGTTTTTTTGGCTTTCTGAGACAAGGTCTTGCTATGCAGTTCAGGCTGACCTTGAACTCACTTTGTAGCCCAGACTGGCCTCAAACTTGCAACAATCCTCCTGCCTCAGCCTCCCAAGTGCTGGGATTACAGGCGTGCACCACCGTGCCTGGCTCACATCTGTGATTTTGACTATTGTCTTGGTGGTAATGACTTCCAAGTATGTTTCCAGCTGTCATCATTCTGGAACTTCAGACTTGTGTGCCTGGTAGAGGGGTCATTCCACGGTATACCCCATAGACATCGCACACTCCTGAGATTTAAAAGAACTTTTATTCCATCAACGCTGCCCTCCCTTTTATGTTCTCTTCACTGATAAATGACAGCACCATCTACTGAGTTACGCAGGGTCGGCGTCCAATGTTTTTTCTTTTCACCTTAATCTTTCTATTCTCATTGCAACTTTCTTAGTGCAGATTCTTGTATTTCACCTAGTTTCCTTGCTTCCATGCTATTTCATACTCAATTCTACTATTACTTATTTCTTTGACTTTACTGTTATTTTTTTGTCATGTCTGTTTTAGGGTATCAGTATATGTGGTTATTGATTTACCAAGCCTTATTCTCTGCCTGACACTATTCCTGTGTTACATCCAAACTGTGCAGTTGTGCAGTTTCTGAACATGCCAAGTTGTTCTGTAGTTTCTTTTTCTTTTCTTTCTTTTTTTAGATTAGTTTTTCTGAGACAGGGTCTTGCTGTGTAGTTCAGGCTGTCCTTAAACTCACTGTGTGTAGCCCAGGCTGGCCTCAAACCTGTGGCAATCCTCATGCCTCAGCCTCCTAAGTACTGAAATTACAGGTGTGAGCCACCACACTTGGCTTGTTCTACAGTTCCTTGTCTTGAAGGTTCTTGTTATTTTGATGAACTCCCACGTAGCCAAAAAGCATAGTAAGAATGATGCCATCTTTATGAATCCTTTCCTGATTCTACTCTGTACAAAGGTTTCCTTCTCTGCCTTCCAAACATGCTGTCTGAAGTTTTGCTGATGTTGTGGCATATTGATCATCTGTCTTGTCTATTTTCCTGAATGAGGATCTCTTTTTCTAGTTTTGTATTTCTAGTGCCTCACCCATGTTAGTAACTCTTGGGGCTAGTAGATTATTTCCTTGCACCTGATTCCTTTTACATTTATTCCTGAGCTGTGCGTTTCTCTTCTTGGTTCTTGCCATTCTGTGCTGAGAGGAATTCAGGGAGCGAGGGATCAGGACCAGTGTAGCCCTAGCTGTTGCCCCTGTCCCTTGTCCTTCAGTCTCCCAGACTTCTCTCTTGACCTCATAGGTCTTGTGGTAGTTTCTCAGAGGGTAGAGGAGCACCGTTTGGTATAGAGCAGTGATGGTGAATCTTTTAGAGACATCCAAACTGAAATGCAAAGCCCACTTAAACCCAATTAAACCTGAATGTTGAGATTTTAATTTAGAAAAAACAATCCATACATGAATGTCTTTTGCCTTAGAAGAAAAACAAGTAACACATGTACCATAGCTTCACCACCACTGGCATAGAGTCTCCAGACCAACTCCTGTCTTCTCCACAGCTGGATGAGTTCTATATTGGGCAAATCCCACTGAAGGAAGTGACTTTCGCGAGGCTGAATGACAATGTGCGGGAAACCTTCCTGAAGGATATGTGCCGAAAGTATGGCGAGGTGGAAGAGGTAGAGATCCTTCTTCACCCCCGTACTCGCAAGCACCTGGGCCTGGCCCGTGTGCTCTTCACCAGCACTCGGGGTGCCAAGGAAACAGTCAAAAACCTCCACCTTACCTCCGTCATGGGCAACATCATCCATGCGCAGCTTGACATCAAAGGTGAGGGCTCCCCTGCCGCTGCTCAGGGTTGGTCTTCAATTGGAAGTGTACATGCTAATGCCTTTGAGGTCAGGCAAGTCGTCACGGTCATGGTTCCTTATCTGAACTTGGGGCTAGATGTGTTTCTGAACTCAGAAGTTATTGGAGAATTATGGTATGTACGTGATTTGTTTTTGTATCATTGTCAGCACGGTCAGGACAGTACCCTGTAGTCAAGCCCCTGACTATACCCGTAAGAAATTATGTGAAGGACAGAATAAATAGAGTTAGTGTAGTAAATCAGGACTGGTTTTTGTTTGTTTGTTTGTTTTTTGAGTTTTTTCGGTCTTTTTTGAGACAGGGTCTCGCAATGCAGTTCAGGGTGGTCTCTTTTTTTTTTGGTGCTGGGAATCAAACTCAGGACCTTGCACTTACCAGGCAGGTACTTGTGCTGCTGAGCTAGATCCCCAGCTAAGTCAGGACATATTTTTAATACCAATTTGTGTGTGTGTGTGTGTGTGTGTGTGTGAGAGAGAGAGAAGTTGAACTCAGGATCTTGTGCTTGCCAGGCAGATGCTTTTGCTGCTGAGCTACATCCCCAGTCCCTACCAGATTTTTTATTTTATTTATTTGTTTATGTCTGTATGTATGTATGTATGTTTTTTACCGGTACCGGGAATCGAACTCACGGCCTTGTGCTTGCCAGGCAGGCGCTGTGCCACTGAGCTAAATCCCCAGCCCCCGCTACCAGATTTTTTAAATTACTGGACTTTGAGGTTTTGGTTTTCAAATTTTACATATTAAGCTTCTAGGGGTGGGGCTGGGGCTTCAGCTCAGCGGCACAGCACCTGCCTGTCTGGCAAGCGCAAGGCCGTGAGTTCGATTCCCGGTACCGGAAAAAAAAACGAAAAAAAACAACAAAAGCTTCTGGGGATTGAGGGTATCGTTCAGTGGTAGAGCTTTTGGGTTTGATCCCTAACACCAAAAATAAAAAGTAAATAAATACCCAAGTATGGTGGCACAAGCCTATAGTCCCAGCACTGCTGAGCCAGGGGGATCACAAGTTTTGAGTTCAGCCTGGGGAACTTAATGACTTAGTGAGACCTTATCTCAAAGTAAAAACAAAAATAAAAGCTGAGGATTAGCTCGGTGGAAAGGCTCTGAGTTCAGTTGCTGGTACCACTAAAAATCAATCACAATTGTATGTATGTATGTATATATTTATTCCTTTTCTTGGTTTTGTGAGACAGGGTCTTGCTATGTATCCCAGGCTGACCTTGAACCTGAGACAATCCTGCCTCAGCCTCTTGAGTGCTGGGATTTCAGGCGTGCTCCACTATACAGGCCTCAAAAATTTTTACAAATGAAAATAAATAACAGGGCCTGGGATATAGCTTATTGGTAGAGCACATACTTAGCATGTTCAAAGTCTTGGGTTCAGTTTCTACAACTAACAAAATACTCTTAAAGGAAGACCTGTAAAGACAAATGACACAATCCAGACTGCTTTGGTAAGGAGCTACGGGGAAGAGTGGGATCTATGACAGACTAAGTTACAGTGCTATGTACAGGAGGCAGCTGTTAGTCGGCATCAGTCGGTTTGCAAGGGAGAGAGGACTGACAGTCCCAAATTTGCTTTTGCCTTTTTAAGGCAGTGTCTGTCTCACTGTGGAGTCCAGCCTGGCTCGAACTTCAGATAATCCTCCTGCCTCAGCCTTCTGTGTGCTGGGCCTACAGGTGTGCGCTGCCATGCCCAACCCAAATTTGCTTTTTAAAAGCCAAAATAGTAGGTTTTTGTATATGATCTTACGTTTTTTTTTTTTGATTTGGGGAATTGAACTTAGGACCTTGTATTTGCCAGGCAGGCACTCGCGCTGCTGAGCCAGATCCTTGGCCCCTGAATTTTAAATATTATATCCCTTCCAAGGTTTTTTTTTTTTTTTTTTTTTGGCCTTTTATCTTTTGAGGTGGTCTTATAGTCTAGACTGGCCCTGAACTTAATAGTCCTACGTCAGCCTCCTAATGGGAATTACAGCCTTGCATCATACCTGGCTCCTTTCAAGATGTTTTTTCCTTGCAGTAGTGGGAATTGAACCCAGGGCTTTCACACTGAGATACATCCCCATGATTTTTTAATTTTTTGTTTTGAGACAAGGTCTTCTAAATTGTCCAGGCTGAGCTCAAACTTTCATTCTTCCTGCCTCAGCCTTCCGAAGTGCTACGATTATAGGCACACTCCACTACACGTAGGTCCTCCCAAGACTTTTTTTTTTTTTTTTTTTTTTTGGTACCGGGAATTGAACTCAGGACCTTGCATTTGCCAGGCAGGCACTCGTGCCGCTGAACTATATCCCCGGCCCCTGAGATTTTTTTAAGTCATTATGCAAGGCGAATAAAATTCAATCCTGGGCTGGATTTAGTCCTCAGGTTGCCATTTTGCAGTCTTTATAGGATAAGGAGCATGGAGGGACTTAGCCTCAGAGAAGCTGGGTTTGAGTGGCAGTTCCTCCACTGACCAATTTTGTGACTTTATGCAGGTAAATTTTCTTTAACTCTTTTAAGGGGACAGGTTCCTGTTGATCACGCATTGTAGTAGTACGGGTAGATGTGTATTTGTAAACTGGGAAGTGCTGTAGAATATGTTACTTGTGGTAGTTCATTGGTAGAGATGAGGTAGGAGAACTGAAATCCCCAAACCCAAGATTCTAAGAAATTGTAGGAAACATGAGGCCTAAGAAAGAAGCAGACCTGCCAAATTGGAAAAGAGCTTTATTGTTTTGTTTCAGCACTGGAGATCAAACTGGAGTGTTGTACCACTGAAATACACGTCTTTTGTAATTTTATTTTTTATTTTGAGCCAGGATCTCACTAAATTGCTCAGGTGGGCCGTGAATTCATTGTTTTGTTTTTTTGTGTGTGTGTGTGGTACCAGGAATCGAACTCACGACCTTGTGCTTGCCAGGCAGGCTGTGCTGCTGAGCTAAATCCCCAGCCCAGGGCTGTGAATTTATGATCCTTCTTCCTCAGTTTTCCGAGAAGCTGGGACTCAGGCATAGGTCGCTGTGCCTGGCTAGGCATTGTTTGTTCCTTCTGACGGTGTGTTCTCATTTCTCTCCCCATAGGACAGCAGCGAATGAAGTACTATGAATTGATTGTCAATGGGTCCTACACCCCTCAGACTGTGCCCACTGGGGGCAAGGCCCTGAGTGAGAAGTTCCAGGGTTCTGGTGCAGCCACTGAGACGGTGAGAAGCTTGTGGCTGCCACAGCCCTAGCCATGTGGACACAGTGCCTGATTGCCAGGAGCAGGAGCCGCCTTTGGGAGGTTCTAGACTTTACTTTTAAGTTTAGGAAGAGCCAAGAAAAGATATTTAGAAACTTTCAAAAAACAGGAATCTAGGATTCTTTTGGAGCAAAGCACGTTTTGAATGGTGGCTGACCCTCTCTCTTTTCTCCTTGCCCCACTCTCCCTCTATAGACTGAATCCCGCCGCCGCTCCTCCTCTGACACGGCTGCCTACCCATCAGGCACCGCTGTGGTGGGCACCCCTGGCAATGGCACCCCCTGCTCCCAGGACACAAGCTTCTCCAGCAGCCGACAAGACACCCCCTCTTCCTTTGGCCAGTTCACCCCTCAGTCCTCCCAAGGAACCCCCTACACATCTCGGGGCAGCACCCCTTACTCTCAGGACTCTGCCTACTCCAGCAGGTACAGAGCACACACCACGCAGGTTCTGGGTGCTGCCATCAGGAGGAAACCCGAAGTTTCACCGAGAGAGAATTGGAGATCGTCTGGCCTGCTCTCTGTAGAGTCAGCCAGCAAACTGCTGTCTTCAGGGACACTGTCCAGAAAGCTGATGTGTAGTTCTCTGGGGATGGTGGAGAGAGGCTTTGGGTACGAGAACTGGGACGGTCGGTTGTCATACAGAGATGAGCCCCGGTAACTCTCTCACTTCTTTTCCAGCACCACTTCAACCTCCTTCAAGCCCCGGCGGTCAGAAAACAGCTACCAAGATTCCTTTTCCCGCCGCCATTTCTCCACATCTTCAGCCCCCACGACTGCCTCCACGTCCATCCCCGCCACCACTGCAGCCACTGCCACGTCGTCGTCGTCTTCCTCCTCATCCTCATCTTCGTCCACGTCCTCTTCTTCCACATCCTCTCAGTTTCGTGGTTCTGACTCAAACTACCCAGCGTATTATGAAAGCTGGAATCGCTACCAGCGTCATAGTTCTTACCCGCCACGCCGGGCAACTCGTGAGGAGCCCTCTGGTGCCCCTTTCTCTGAAAGTACTGCTGAGCGCTTCCCGCCCTCCTACACCTCATACTTGCCCCCTGAGCCCAGCCGGCCCACAGACCAAGACTACCGGCCTCCTGCCTCGGAGGCCCCGCCCCCAGAGCCTCCGGAACCAGGCGGAGGACCCAGCCCCGAGAGAGAAGAAGCTCGGACCTCCCCCCGCCCGGCCTCCCCTGCCCGCTCCGGCTCCCCAGCCCCGGAGACCACCAATGAGAGTGTGCCCTTTGCCCAGCACAGCAGCTTGGATTCCCGGATTGAAATGCTGCTGAAGGAGCAGCGCTCCAAGTTTTCTTTCCTGGCCTCAGACACGGAGGAGGAGGAAGAGAACAGCAGTGCTGGCTCCGGGGCGAGAGACACCGGGAGTGAGCTGCCTTCTGGGTCAGGTCATGGGCCTTGCACACCTCCCCCAGCCCCAGCTAACTTTGAGGACGTGGCACCTGCAGGGAGTGGGGAGCCAGGGGCTCCCCGGGAGTCTCCCAAGGCCAACGGACAGAACCAGGTGATGTTGGGGTCGGCTGGAGAAGGTACCTGGGCTTGGGAAGGCAGGGCTGGCGCCTTGGGGAGAGGGAAGTGAGCTGGAGAGGAAAATGGGTGTGAGGAAACGTCCACGGAGTGGGCAGGGGCTTACTGTGACCTCCTCTGCACCCCGTAGGCTTCTCCCTGCTCTTCTGGAGAGGACATGGAGATCTCCGATGATGACAGGGGCGGCTCACCGCCTCCAGCCCCGACACCCC